CCACTGCTACTTGTGCACGGGTGGGTGCAGCCCTCACTTGGGCTGGTTCACATCAATAAGGGAGCCAATTTTGGATGTGGTAAAAGAAATGTGTTCATCTCCAATCACAATTTCCAGCTCCTGAAAAGGAATGGTTTAACAAAAGAAGTTGTCAGAAAATTGATTCTCCAGAGTCCAGGACCTGCCTGATCACATCCACACAAGCTGAGACAGAGAAGCCAGACTTTCCTAGGGACAGCCAGTATGTTAGTGTGGAGGGACCTCAGCTCTGGGCCCAGCTATACTGGGTACCTGAGCTGTCGTGAAGGAACAGAGGGAGTCTGTGAGGTGGATGTGAGGAGGGAGGGCATTCAGGGCTGGGAGAGGAGAGAGGGGGAGGCGTGGCTTTAAGTGGGAACAGGTGTGATATCATGGAAGCAGATGTGACAAAGGTGGATTTGAGGAATGAGGGAGGAATCCAAGATGGTGGATGTGAACCTTCCAATGGTGCCAACTTCCACAAAGCCATTTGCGATATCTGGGCCTGAGTTTCCTCAGAGAATGAGAGCCAGCACGAAATAGGGGAAGAAATATGACTTTAGAAACAGAGGGCCTGGGTTCAAATCCTGGCTGTGCCATTTGCTGCTCATATGAGCCCTGAATAAGCCAGTCTCTATGGGCTTCAGTGTCTTTATCTGAAAAATGGGACTATTAGAGACAATCTCTCCCTTCACAATCCAAATCTACAGTCTTGCAACTGGATGGTCTCCAAGGCCCTTCCCAATCCAAATACTAGTCACCACACACAAGAATAAAGGGGACCATAATCTTAGTGGTTTCTTGACATTTAAGTCTTATGTTGTGTTCTACAGAAAGTTTTTACCAGAATAAATGCCTATTATATGGAGTCATGCTAGCGAACATGTTGGTGTCTGTGTTGAAAAACAGAAGCAAATATGGATCCTACATTAATTAGGCAATTCCATTTCCCTAAATCACATACAAGTGGGTGGGGGTACCCCTGGCCTTGGTCCTATGCCCTCTGTTTTCTCTCTCAAGGTGACCCCATCAATTGCCAAGAGTTTAACTCTCGCCTCTATGCAGACACCTCCCAGGTCTAGAGATCCAGTCCTAGACTCCAGGCCTGCATCACCAAATGCTTAAGGGACCTTTCCACACACAGGTGCCGTAAGCAACTCAAACTCAACATGTCCAAAACAGAACTCATCCTCTTACCCCCCAAGCCCAGCCCTTTCCCAAACTCCCCCATCACCCATCCAGTCACAAAGGTTCATATCCGCCATCTTGGACTCCTCCCTCCTTCCTCAAATCTGACTCTATCACTTCTACATCATGACACCTCACACCTGTGCCCACTTAAAACCACTGCCTGCCCCTCTCCCCACCCCCACCCCCACCCCCAACCTCTCCATGCCTGGAATGCCCCCACCCATCTCTGCCTCACAGACTCCCTCTCTCCCTTCCTGACAGCTCAAGTACCAGCGTCTCTACAAAACCTTTGTGGATCCCCTTGACTGTTATTATTGTCTTGCTTCTCAAACTCCCTTGTACCCAAACTACTCTCTTTATACCACCATACATATTTGTTATCTCCCCTGTCTCAGGTAAAATGTAAGCTTCTCACAAGGAGGGATTGCTTCACTCACTGGATTGATAAAAGACTAACTGAAAAACCAGAGTGTATGAAAGTGACCCACCCTGAAGAGGCATGACCCCTTTGTCCCCCTCCCCACTCACCTGCCGGCCCACCCTGTCGGGTGGAGGCCACAAGGCATCATCTTCTTTTGTGACTTCACTGTCATCGATGATTCTCTTCAGTTCCTCCATCACACTCTTATGGACATAAGCCTAGAAGTGAGCCAGAGGACAAAGTCTACACTGGCTACAGACTGGCAGAGGATCTGCCCTGGGCTACAAGGGGGCCCACTTCTGACTCTGCCTGGGAAACCTCTTTGCCTCCTTTGAACCCTGCACCCCAGCCTAGACACTAGGGGATGGGGGACCCTCCCAAAGCTCTCACCTCTTTTCTGATCATCACATCATTCTTATAATTGCTATTGTTGGCATAGCGCAGTTTTCCTATAAGGAGGAAAAATCATATTCAGTTTATGAAAAACAAAAACAAAACAACCTGGTAAAACCTAGCTTCCAAAGCAGTCTCAGTCAAACGTGGGCCTGACCACATTCCTCCCCACCCCCAAACTCCAGGTCCAAGGGGGCGATATCACTTCCAGGGTCAACTATAAAATTCTGTTTGCCATTCAAAGCATCTCGTGACCCCTCCCCCACTTTCATGTCTTCTGACACCTTGCTCCCCACCTCATACTCTTCCATTCAGTGACACCAGCTTCCAAGCTGTTCCACCAACCAGACCCTCTGTCTCTCAGCTCCAGTCACTTTGTCTGGCCGTCCCATCTGACCACCACCCTCCCAACCCCCTACTGCTGCCCCCACCCCCACCTGGAAGGCTCTCCCTCTTCCACTGACTACTGATCCCTCTGGCTTCTTTTAAGTCCTAATCTAAAATCCACCTTCTACAGGAAGCCTTCCCTATCCCCTCGTATTTCTGATGCCTTCCATCTGTTAATTATTTTCTGTTTCTCCTGTATATAGCTTGCTTTGTACATAGCCACCTACAGTTGCCTCCCCTATGAGGCTGCTGAAAGCCTAGAAAGCAGAGACTGTCTTTTACCTTTCTTTGTCTCCCCAGCACTCAGCACAGTGCCTGGCACCGTAGGTGGGTGCTTAATAAATGTTTATGACTGCCACGGCTGACATTCAGAGGGAAAAACTTACATTGTGAAAAATGACAGCAAACTATGTAATTAAATGCAGAAAAGGTGTCAGAGGAAGAAGGAATGACTTGTTCTGCTTGGCTCCACAGGACACAGCTGGAAGCAATGGGGGGAAGCTGCCAGGTGAGGGATTTGGGTTCCAAAAGGCAGGGGAATAGGGTGGAGGTGGGGGGCCACTCAGGGACATGGCAGTTCAAGGATCCTTGGGGCTGTACTGGCTGGGCTCTGAGGCAGCCCCGAGAGGAGCAAGCTGCCCAACTGGCGGGAAAATAGCAGCCAAGATACTCAGAAATTTCACTAGATGAAAAAGGGTCAAACCCTGCACCTCAGCTGCCCACGTACAAATGCCAAGGGAACCGCTGACAGGCAAGAGGAACTGAGCCTGAGCTCACCAAGCCACGTTGCCTGCAAAAGCCTGAATTATCCCAAAGAAACAGGAGATGGATGGAGAGGAGCAGGACACGTCTGCTTACTGGCTGGTCTTTATGAACTCCCAGGGAGGAGCTCCCTCTTCCAAAGCAGATAGCCTCTCCCCACCTCTCCTCCCCTCCTGTCGTGGGCAGGAGCTTTGTGTGCCACAAAACACCATTATGGGAGGAGAGCCAGTATCGGGTTCAAGTGAAGATGGGCAAAGGAGCCCACTGTGTGCGGGCAGCTGAGGCCTCTGGGTTGATTGTCAGCTCCCTGGATCTCAGAATATCGCTGGTGCTGCCACTGCTCCACTCCCTGCATGGGGGCACTTCACTCTGGTACCTGGGGAGCTATCTGGTCTAGCCACCAACCATGCTCACTGTGAATCTGCAGACCACCTGAGCAGGCTGGGAAATTGAAGAAATGGAGCAGAAGCCTAGCACAGGAGAATCCTACAGTAGTGATGGGTAGATAATGGAAGACAACTTCCATCGGCTAGACATCCCGCCCAAGCTGAGGAGCTCGTCATTTCTTGATTTGCCCTAATGATAATTTCATCCTTCAAAAGGTAAGTAAGCCAGGGAATTTCTACTCTAGAGCTGATGTACATCAACAAGAAGGAGCAGGTTGATGGAGTCAAAATGACAGGAGCCTTGGGAGAAAGTCACTAACCATTCCAGCTCAGAGTCTATGATGAGGAAGGAAATCTGAGCATATTCTGACAGGCAATCTGGATTTTAGGAGAGCTCATTTCCAAGAGTTTGGATAAAAGTTAGGTAGGATTCCATGTTTTAAAAATCTAAGGCCAGGCTGGGATTCTTATAATCTAGCCAATAGCTTACCAACGTTCAGACTCCTTAAGAGTCTGCCCAATATGACGGATGTTCTAATAAACCTTGTCTTTGGCTGAAAAAATTGAAAGAAATAAAAATCTAAGGCCATAGGTTTCCCATCAAAGGAGTTACTCTAGCAAAGGACGGATGATGACCTTTCAGGTATATTGAGCAGGACTTTCTTGTTCATATATGGATTGGCCTCTAAGGTTTCAAGATTTCAAGTGCATTGCTTTTCTAACTACTTCAAATATGGCGCTCTACTAACTCTGCCTTAGCCAGCTTTGTCAGGTTTAAGGCTTATAACTTGAAGGTACCAACCCTCTGGACTTGACAGGTTTTTAGTTTAAGGAACTCCACACTTTCACATCCCAAATAGACACCAAATGTAACCAAGCTGTGGCTCTCTAGTCTATCCCTATGACAAATCAGGTGAGCCAGATCAAACCAGGTCACATCAAATCAAGAAATATTTACTGAGTACCTCTGTGCCCAGGGCCCTGCAGCAGGCACAGGCAAGATGATACAGGGCCAAGAGTACTGAATTTGGTGTCAGAAGACCTGGGTCTGAATCCTGACTGCTTCCTGCCTCCTAGGTGACCCTGGCCAAGCGCATGGCTTTTAATGAGGGACTGGGCTAGATGATCTTAAAAATAAATGCTATGACACAAAACATGTTTGAAGAAAAGATTCCAAGACTCAAGATCTTAATGATTCACTGGGAGATGCAAGTCAATACACGAAAAGCCAAACAAAAAAAAAAAAACAAAATATACAAGACAATATAAGTCACAAGACTTACTAGATTACTAATCACCAAATGAGTGACACAGTCAACCTCTATAAGATTTCAAAGAAAAATAAAATCACCTGAGTTTTATGAAAAACAGTGATTGGGAGCGAGGGCACCTGGGTTCCTGTCACTGTCCTGCTATTAATTTCCTGCTTATGGCCTTGGCCAAGTCATTTCCCATACTTGGGCCCCAGTTTCCTCACTGATAAAACGAGGAGGTGGAGTAAGATGACCTACCACCTCTGATGGTCTAAACTAGTATTAAAGAGTATGTAGCACATGAACCTCTCAATAGCCAGGTGGTGATACATTCAGCTTAGTGGAGGGAGGGGGAGTTAGGCTTGGTAAGGAAAAGTAAAGCCTTCCTTTTCAACAGCCCCAGCTAATTCGATTCCCTCCCCCAGTCACTTTGCATTTACTCTGTATGAATTTTGTAGTCATCTGGATACACCTTTCCCTTCAGTAGAAAGGACTCTCCTGGATGACGGGGGTTGTCCCCAATGCCTCGACCAGCGCCTGACACCTAGTAGTCATTTAATTAAAGCTTGCTGAAAGGCATTCAAAGGGAAACTCTTCTCAGACAAGCAGCAATAGAACCATAGACAGTTCCCTGAGTTTGGAAGCTAGAAGACAGAAGTGAATCACAATGCCTCACTTACCACCTGTAAAATGGGGACAATCACAGGTGCACTCTGCCACCTGCTGATCCGAGGGGGAAGCCAGCACCCTGAACAATCGGCTGGCTTCAGGCTCCTGGACCCCACCCTCAGCCCCCTGCCACCATCTCAGGGGTCGCTTCCACTTCCTTCTCCCCTCTCTGCAAAGCCTGTCCTTTCCAGTAGGTGCTGAACGAATGCTGGCAGACTTTCCAGTCCCATTCCCTGCTCCCCGTCCCGGTTTCCACTCTGGTCCGACTGCAGCTCCCCGGCACCATGAAACAAGTATTTATGAAGCTCCTGCTAGTGTCGGACACCAGGAAAAAAGACGAAAACCAAACAGTCCCCACCCTCGAGGCCTTTACTATCTATGGGTTCAGCACATGGGTAGCAGGAGACAGGCAGGAGGGAGGCTGGTAAAACGGACAATCCTATAGCATCTGCTTCCCACCCCAGGAGGAGGGGGCATTATCATCCCCATTTTACAGAAGAGGAAACTGAGGTCTGTAGACCCTCCCTACTAGTTAAACATCCAAACCAATAATCCCTGACCCGGGATTACCAGGGGTGAGGGGCGTTCAGCCCATCGGGTGGGGGCTGGCAGCATCCTAGGAAACCCAAGCTTGGGGTCCCCAGCCTGCCCCCCTACTTCCCATGCCTTCATTCTAGTCTGGGCTCTCCCGTGTGCCCCCTAGCCCAGCCCCGGACCCCGGCACCCCAAGACCCTCCCCTTACCCCTCCTCCCCTGTGTCCCCCCAGCCCAGTCCCCCGCCCCCCAGGCCCCTCTTGCCCCCCCCCCAAGTCCGGGCCCCCACTTCCCCCCCTCACCGTCCGGCCGAAACTCGAACTCCAGGAACTCGTGGCCGAACTTGCCCTTGTGCCCCACGTAGTAGCGCAGGTAGAAGTCGCTGGCCATGGCCGAGCCGCGAGCTGGGCCCCAATCCGCGGGACGCGCCGAGGGCCCCACGGCCGCCTCCACCCACCTGACTGCACCTCCTCAGACCGGGGCGCGTGGCAGTGACGTCACGAGCCAGCGCCCGAGGCCGCGCCCCCTCTCTTCCGCCCGCAGGCTGGCCCCGCCTTCCCCGTTGCGTCACCGCCCTGGCTCCGCCCACGAGCGAGGCGCGAGGAGCCGCATGCGCGGCAGGGAATCTCAGGTTGGGCTTTATCTAGGGCCTGGGAAACTTCGGACAGCTCTGTGCCCAGCATCCCCAGCCGCCTCTGCTGCTGCCCAGTCCCTCCCAGCGAAGAGAGGAGCGGCCTTTCCCTGCTCTCTAGTCTTGGAATGGATATCCCATTGACATCTTAAACTCAACAAGGGCCGTCTCCATCGTCCCGGTGAATATCTCTCTCCCCTGAACCCAGACGGCTCTGGAGGAGAAAGTGAGGCTGGTGACGTTGCAGGTCATGTCATCAACTCCTTGACGTCATGGTCCCCTTCCAGAACGAAGGCCAGACACAACAACAATCGTAGCCAGCATTGCTCCATCACTTGAAAATCACATCCTTACGACAACGCTGTAACGTAGGTGTAGTATGGATATCGCCATCTTGCAGCTTGACGTAATGGAGCCAGCCTCATCACCTGGAAAACTCTGGCTCAAATCCCATTCTGACACATCCTGGCTGTGTGATCCCGGGAAAATCACTTAACCCGTCAGTGCCCTGGGCAACTTAAGGTTCTGACCTGTATCGGCAGAGCAAACTCCTCACACCGATGAAATCACCGGCTCCAAACCAATCCTGAGGTTTCACTTTTCTCCATCTAATGTTTTAGCCTCTTGAAGACTTTTGGCATGGGACATATTCACTGTCCTCTTCTGATACATCTAATCCAATGCCCACAGCTTCAATTTTCTAGCGTGCAGATTTGGCTTTCTAAAGTTTGGGCTTGCTTAGCACGCAAATTCAAAAGTCAGCATTCTGCTGCAATTCAGGATTAACGCCTTTAACAGAAAGGGGTTTCCACCAGAGGATAGAAAAATAGAGGAAGGGGGAATCATTCAAGGGAGGAAAGGGGAACTTTCTGAAGGAATATTTACTGGGATGAGAGACATTACCTATTCAAGGGCAGGTGACCACATACTTTTACCGTGGTGAAAAATGTCCATTTTGCAAAACTGCAGGGTTGAAATAAGCATTTAGAGCAGAAGGCAGATGTCTCTCATCCAAGGATGGTGAGCAGTTTTACAGCGGTAGATGTGATCATCCACTTTACATGGTTTGTTATAATTTCATTCTCCTTCCTATCCACTAGGACACCAGATGGTTGGGGGATTTCTACATAGGTAGTCCATTAAGATGTTGTGAAATGATAACAGTTCCGGTTCCCTGTCCCCATCCCCATTCCCTTTGATTCAAAAGGCCTCCTCTAACATGTTTTGTTCCCTCTTACAGTCTGTGCAAAAGTAGTAGTGGTTGTCCTTTGTGTTCAGAGAGGACCAAAATGATATCACTATGTTGTGGTCATGCCACGCTTGGTGGTCCTGTGCCAGTGTCTCCATGTCTCACAACTGATTCCGAAGTTCTTCAAAGAGACCTTGCAATTGTCCTTGTATTTTCCAGACCTCCACATGAGCATTTGCCCTCTTGTATGAGTTCTCTGTAAAGTAGTCCTTTAAGCAAGCATACATTTGGCATTCAGACAATGTGGCCAGCCCATAGGAGTTGTGCTCTCTGTAGTCCGGTTTGGATGCTTGGCAGTTCAGCTTAGAAAGGACCTCAGTGTCCAGTGCCTTATCCTGCCGTGTGATCTTCAGAATTTTCCTAAGACGATTCAAATGGAAGCGATTCAGTTTCCTCACTTGGTGCTGGGAGACTGTCCAGGTTTCACAGCCACACAACGACGAGGTCAGCACAACAGCTCTGTAGACCTTCAATTTGGCAGTCAGTCTAATACCTCTTCTCTCCCATACCTGCCTTCAGAGCCTCCCAAAAGAGTACGTCCGACCATGTTACTAAACCAATCTCAATATACCCCAGTGGCTCCCGATTATCTCCGGGATCAAATATAAAACCTTCGATTTAGTGTTCGAAGCCCTTCCCAATTAAGCTCCTTCCTACCACACACCTTTTGCACCTTGCCTCCTTCCTTGTACTCTATGTCTATGGTTCAGTGACGCTGGCCCCCTTATTGTCACATTTTCTGCATTTCCACTGGCTGTCCCCATACCTGGCAAGCTTCCTTCTCCATCTCTGCCTCCTGGCTCCCCTGGCTTTCTTCCAGACTCAACTCAAATCCCACCTTCTATAAGAAGCCTTTCTCAACATACCCCCCCCACCAGTACTTTCCCTCCAAAATTACCTTCCATTTAGGAAGAGGAACAAGCATTTATTAAGTACCTACTGTGTGCCAGCCACTATACTAAGTGCTTTGCAGATGGTATTTGGCCATTTACACTGGTTATATCTTTTGGACGCACATAGTTATTTTCATCTCATCTCCCTCTCGAGAACATTATTTTTATGAGGTCAAGGACCATGTTTTCTCCTTTCTCTGCATCCTCAATGCTTAGCACAGTGCCTAGCATGTTGAGTGACTGACTAGCTTTTGAAATAAGCTACAGGTGGTCAGGGACACAATTCCTCCGATTGTATAAAATAAAAAGACAATGTTACATGGTCAATCATTCTAGGATGTATATAGTGTTTTTCTCTTTTTAATAAAAATTTCCCACCTAATACATTAAACTATGTGCTTTCAAGTGAGCTGCTGTCCCTCTCAGTATACCTGGGGGTCACCAGGCATGTGTTTTCCTCAGGCTTCCAGGGTGGAGGCTGAGAGTCAAGAGTTAGAAAACCCCCTGGGCTGTTTATTCTTTCAGCAATCCACATCTGGTTTTAAGTGATCACTTTAAGCAGAGCACTAAACTAGGCATTGAGCAGAAATAATGAAAAATCCCAAACAATCCCTGCCTTCTAGGTACTTCAACTCTCACTCCTGAGCTTTGGCACCAAGGGCAAGTTTCTGCCCTGAGGGTTAGTAGCAGATAATAGTGGGATACCCCAATGCAGTCTTCTGGGGTCAGATGAAGTAGGAGAGAACACCAGCAGGGACAAGGGTGGCAGCTTCAAGGTCATCCTGGGAAGCTTGTTGTTGTTCAAGCAAGTTGTGTGACTCTTTGTGACCCCATTTGAGGTTTTCTTGGGAAAGCTCCTGGAGTGGTTTACTATTTCTTTCTCCAGCTCATTTTACAGATGAGGAAACTGAGGCAAACGGGGTTAAGAGACTTGCCCAGGGTCACATAGCTAGTAAATGTCTGAGGCTGGAATTGAACTCGGGTATTGCTGGGTGCTTTATCTACTGCATCACCTCGCTCCCCCTTTCCTGGGAAGATGCCTCAATAAATGCAGCCAAAGAAAGTCAGTTTCCAACTGGTTGCAGTGTATGTTGAAATCGGGTTAAGAGATTATTGTCTTCACTCAACAGAGATAAGAGTGAAGCAGGTGGGGCAGGACTGAAGAGGTGGCTGGTAGCCCTGGTCCTGCTGTGGCGGCAGCGCTTAGCAAAATGGTTGGCACACAGTAGGTGCTTAACAAATGTTTATTGAATGAATCACACACACAGTAGGGCTTGTCACTCAGGCATCCTCCAAGATGCTTAGGAGAAAGGACTTGTCTGTGGAAACACTGCCCCCTGGTGTTCTTTCTGTGCTATTGGCTCAACTCCCATCTACTGTGAATTTAGACGCTTGGTTTTTTTTTTTCAGTCAGCAAAAACGTTCAGTGGCTCCCTACTGCCTCCTGGATCCCCCTCAAACCCCATCAGTTAGACAGCTATCTTAAGCCCCTCACAGTAGGGCTCCAGCCCACCTTCTTTCTTTCTGTTCATTGAGAAGATGCTTCAGTCCTTTAAGGGGTGAGGGCCGCTTGTTAGAAGCACACCCCACCCCCAAGCTTGGCTAGTGATTTTCAAAAAGAGAACTTTAATATCGCCTTTGTAAAGCAAAGTGGGGTCCCCCCCGCTCCATGCACCTTGTCACTCTTGATACATCCCACCTTCCCCCTGAACCAGTCTACTTGAGGTTCCCTAATTCAGCGTTCCATCAGCCATGCCCTGGTCTTTGCTGCGTGTTCCACAGGGCTGGAATGCAGCCCTTCCTTAGCTTGGCCTCTTGGAATCCTTAGCTTTCTTCAAGGATTGACTGCAGAGCTCCCCCATGTAGGGATGGAAAGAGGATGCTTTCTCCACTACAAGCTCCAGAGGCAAAGCATTTAGTACACAGAGACAAAGAGACATTGGGTCAAAGGACTGCTGTGATTCCAAGTCTAAGACTGGAGGCACCCTGTGGCTACTGAAGATATATTCACCAGGCCTTTCAAATGCTTTAACACTAGGACTATTGGGTAGATGGAATAAGCATTTATTAAGCACCTACCAGGTGCTAGGCACTGTCCTAAGCACCTTACCTCTCACTTGTCCCACAACAACCCTGGAGGTAGGTGCTGTTATTATCCTCACTTTATAGTTGAGGAAACTGAGGCAGGCAGAGTTTGAGTGACTTATTTGCCCAGGGTCACACACCTAGTAAATATCTAAAGTCATATCTGAACTCGGGTCTTCCTGACTCCAGACCTAGGCTCTATCCACAGCACCACCTGGCTGCCTCTAACAGTAATAGAATGTTAGCAATGCAAGGAATCCCTGGGGATCGACCAGTGCATTCCCTTGTTTTTCTAGATGGGGAAACTGAGGGAAGAACTGGAAAGGGGACTTGCTTCTGGTCACCAACACTTATTAGGGGCAGTTATTCCTAGAACCAAATGCCTCCTGACTCTTTGTGACAGGTCAAAAGTGGACTCCCTTCAGCTAATGGGGGAGAGCCCTGGTGGGTTGAGGGTTCTTTCTTATTCTGTGATCTGAACAAGAGGATCACAGAACTAAGGAACCTCAGAAACCAATCCCCTCATTTTACAGATAGGGTCACTGAGGCCCAGAGATGCTCAATGACTTGCCTGAGATCCTATAGG